CTGTGATTATGAAAAATACAAAATTTACTATAACATACTGTATGTTCAGGAAAGTTTATAATGCAGGTAATCCTACTGACTGCTTTCCTGCAAAACATGTAGCAACAGAATATGAAATGCCTGCCAAGCTAGCCTCTCTTGTGCATGCATTTTCCCTTTCTGTCTTTGTCTCTGTTGCACACATACATTATAAAATCTCAGAAATTATGTACATTTAAAAATGGATGTTAAACCCCAAACTGTACCTCAAATTCACAGGGCTTTTCAGAAACAAGCACAAGTATGAAATATTTTTAGAGCTCCACATTTTGGACCAGCTCATAAAATATAGAAACAAGGATGTAAAGCATTAAATTGTGCTGTTCATGAGGAGTGTGTTTCAGAGTGTGTTTCTATTTGAAACTTTGGAAAATTTGCAGAAACTCTTTTCAGTTGTACTGATTATAAAAATTAGGTAGTGTGGAGATTATAAAAGACACAATGAGAGGGTATCTAGGGGCCATTTTTCTTTTTTTTTACTTGACAGTACATAATAGTAACTGTTCATAAAGCAAAACAGAAAACATACAATATAACTTCAAAACAAAAGAAAAATACAGAAATGAGGAAATTAAGACATTGTTCTAAAGAGCAAAGATTCAGGTCTATTATAATGCAACTACTCTTCAGGCAATATTATTAAGCTAAATACAAAGTTTCAGAATAGTGCATGTCTGCTATACTGCAGAAATGATCAAATTCATTTAAAGTGGCAGTAAAAAAAATTTATTACTGGTCTTCAAAAAGAGAATATATCAAGCCTTTATATATTTGCATGACTTTTGTTCTAGTTCTCATTTCTACTAAGCCAAATGCTTGAAACATATATTATGCAATTTTTAACAAGTATCACTGCATTTTTTGTTTTCCTAGGGATACAAAGCATAGCAAAAGTCAGCTTTTGGGTCAGCTGCAATGGGGAGTTAAATTGGAATAAAGTGAATCAAAATGCTTATGCTCAGCCAACTGCATAATCAAAGGATAAAGGTTCCACTGAACAATTTAGTATCTGACTTTTCTAACTAACCTTTTTGTCATAAATCAAAATATTTCATTTTATTGTTGAAAGTTAGTCTTAGCATTGGGGATAAAGAGAAAGGAAGAGAGCAGGACAGGTAGCCATGGGCAGCATATACCGGTAAGGTCACACATCCAGAGAATCCCGTGACATCACAATAAACACAATAAAGCTCCAGTGGATTGGGAAGTCTCTGAGATGACAGAAAGGTATCTTTGGACTCGGTTGTTTTGCACCATACTTATTTTACTTAATTATTGTATGAAAAATATGATTTTTAAATTCTAGGAAGAATACGTTGTCCCCTTAATATTTTGGAAAGCTCAGTTTATTGAAGATTTTCTATCATTCAATAAGAGCATTATAGGGTTTTAGTTTACATCACCACTTCAGAGTTGAGCTGCTGTAGCTGAACAGTGGATTATAGAAATGATGCCTTGACATTAGAGACCCACATGGTTGCCTTTAGATGTTTGAAAACCTCCTTTAAAGGGATTCATTTGTTCATTTTACTGTTTTCAGGGTTAAGTTCTAGAATAGGCCAGATGTTTTCCAGAGGTTGAATGCTTGAAACTCTAATGAATTTATTACTAAACATAAGCTATTGAATTTGATGGAAGATGAATGTAAATGTTTGACATCAGAGCCTGTGTTGCTCTTATGGAAATTTTGAGAAATGAATGTGGAGCTGTGTGATTTTTAGGAATATTTGAGGGTTTATATCATGGCTTTTCCTATGCTTTCACTGTAGGATTGTATATTGGTTTTGATGTCTGGGTTTTTTTTTCTTTTATCAGGTTAATATCTTCTTTGTAATAAGGTTTTCTACTTACTGATATTTTGGAAGGAGAGATTATCATGAGTATTTCTATCTGTGGAAATATTTCTTTTTTTGCTCCACAGAGCAATCAGTGTTTTGTCCTTTTTCATGACCTTCAGAAAACATTATCTTTATGTCACTGTATAAATCTGTAATTATTTTATATAGAGTGTGTGCAGCCCTGCCCCAAAAAGGCTAAAATAGGACAAGAATAGTTACATAAAAGGTGATGCTCCACAGGCATGGAACAATTTCATATAGCTGAAGCAGGCCAGAGAAGAGCAGTTGCAGAGGAAGAGGACACTCCATGTCACAAATGGCATGGTGAAAGCTAATACAGAGCAATTGATGACCATCAATTGTATGACAAGAATGCAAAAAATCAAGTGGAAATTAAAAAGACCACAAGAAATATTCTCCCATTCAGTGAATGTTTGAAACTCTTGATATCACATTAACCATAGCGGTGTACCTACTGCCTTCTGCTCAGAAAATCCCCCAGCCATGAGCTGCAATACAAGGAAAACTTTCCAAAATTATTTTCACTATATCCATGTCTCTTTAATATTTACAGTTATTCATTGACACTATAACATAGGCTTGGAAAAATTTCTTGTATGGTGTGGGCTAAACACCATAGGTGATTTTGATGGTTTCTCCTAACTTTAGTCCTAACATTTGGTTTCTGATACTCTTAACCAGCTTCTTTTTTACTGGCAGAATCTTCTGGCTCCTTAAAGGGTCATTGGGACAAGTGAAAGAGCCATGTGGAACATTTTTAGGCAACACAAGCATATGATATAATGTAAGCTGCATAATACAACTGGTGTTCCTCCAGATGTTTGTCTTTTATTAAGATGTGCCTGCTTAATGCTGACGTGTACATTTCTTGGAGAACTAACATGAAACTTTCCAAAAACTGCCAGCCTCACACCTTTATCAACTGGTTTTGAAAGAAAGTATTTTTGGCTTTGAGAATTTTGGGTTAAACATGCACCTTTCATTTTAAAAAGGAAAATAGTGCAGAACCAAAGTCTCTGACTGCAAATAAGCAACCATTTGCAGGCACACCTTGATTAACTCTGCAATAGAAGTCTTCCAGTGGGGTTTTCTTCTTGCTCAAGGTCAGATAACTTTCACAGTACTCATACCATCTTCAAGATTTACTATCAGTTGTAAAAGTAGCTGTGAAATATAGTTTTATTCTTGACATCTGGAAGAGAGCTTGGTGTTGTAACTGGTCTATAAATTATAAAAGTAAATATACATGCATGAATACTTTGAGGTATAAAGCATGTACTAAACACACAGTATATGTACCATCAAGTATTTTAGAAATATCTAATATGTTCTGAAATATAATTTCTGCTTTTTTCACTCACCCCATAAACTGAGGAAATGTCTCTGAAGTCATGTATTGGCACTCAAGGTTTAGTCATGTGCTACCAAATAATCTGCATGAGGACACACAAAGGCATCCACAGCATAAGCCACCTGCTCTGTGGATATATGTCTGTAGCCATAGACAACAGTATTCATGACTGGCTTGCCATTCCCTCCTTGCCTGTTTTCTTTACTCCCATGCAGATTTGTGGGAACCCAGCTTTCTACAGATTATTTACACATCAGTCAGGAATTTTAAGAAAACATGGAAAAGGTAAAGGGAACAAACCATGATGAGCAGAAGACTGGCCAAGCTTAGTTTTCTCCTGGATTACTGGGGAAACAGCCAAGCTAGCCACAAGTATCAATGCAGTTCATGATAAGGGGTGTGAAGCCTTCAATGACACCTTTGTTCTCTTTTTCTTTGCAGCACCACAGATTAAATGCAAATGAAAATTTCAGAAGAAAAGCCATTTTAAAGACATGGTTATCTTGGAAGTCTTTGGATGTCAGTTTGGTTAGAAAATTATACAGCAGTGAAATTACTTTAATACAGAAATGTTCTTACTACATTTTCTTCTCTTTCTGTTATGATCTTAAGTATGCAATGGTTCTTCCCTTGGGGTGTAAGTCTGTAAGTATATTACAGGCTTTGGCTGACAAAAATGCTTCAGCAAATATTTCAACTTGCTCTTGAACTCTTCATCTTGGCTTTGAACATCGAGTTCATAGTCCACATTATGTGATCAGTCTTGTGCTTAATTCATTCACAAATAAAAAGAAATGTCAATGCAGACTGAAGCAGAGAAGCAGTTCTTTGCAGAGTAGCTATACATCCCTGCATATACCTGATGTTATCAAGTTACATAGTCATAAAGATCTCAGAGTTCTATATGTAGAGTCATGGCACTTTCATAGTTTGGAACATTCAGTCTCCTTCTCAAGTGCTGATTGTGCTGAGCCTTCATTCCTTAAAAATGAAATTTCTATGTTCTCCCCCTGAAAAGGGCACTTTGTGCTCCTAATAGCATGGCAAATCTGAAGGGAGGAGGACCTCCTAGCTCTTCAGAGAACATACACAGCATAAAGCTCTATTTATATGTTCTTCAGTGAATCTATTTGTGCCAAATTCTCCAGCTCTTCCTCAGATGATTCATTGTGTTTGACTCTCATGACAGCTAGGGAGTCAAAACTCAGATTCTGTCTCACTAAGGCAATTTCACTCCATCTCATGAAGCTCAAGAACTTCTTTCTGTTTTCTCACATAAATAAATGTACCTAGTGCTACACAATGCTTTGATTGTGAAGCATGTCGAGACAACAATTTCAGCACAGGAAAAGTCTGATAATAATACACAATTTGAAAATCAGCCTGTATACAATTTAATTCAGAATATCTGGTAATCACTGCAGATGTAAATTAGGAGATGTGGCTCCAGTGAAGACTGAGCACTAAGGGACGTGTGGGTGATTTTCTGGGTTAGTTTCGATGTTGCTGCAGTTATCTTGCAGTCATCAATGAATCACAGAATGAATCAATATCTGGAAAGGACCCAAAAGCATCACAGAGTCCAGCTCCTGGCCCTGCACAGGACAACTCTAAGAATCCCACCATGTATCTGAAAGTGTTGTCCAAACACTTCTTGAAGTCACTTCCCGACTGTTCCAGTGCTCAGCCACCATCTGGGAGAAGAACATTTTCTTAATATCCAACCTAAACCTCCTCTGACACAATTTCATTTCCTTTCCTTGAGTCCTGTCACTGGTCACCAAAGAGAACAGACCAGTGCCTGCCTGTCTGTTTTGCCTTAGGAGGACGCTGTAGATTCATCCCTCAGTCTCCTCCAGGCTGAACAAACCAAGTGACCTCAGCCACTCCTCATATCCATCTTCCCCACACCATTCACCATCATCAAGAACAGTTATGTTCTCCTCCATTTTTTATTGTTTGTTTGTTTTTTTTTTTCTTTTTATGAACTTCAAGTCTTCCCAAAAAAAGGTGTATGGAACCATCAACAACACTGTTAAATCTTCACTTGCAGAGGTATTGAAAACATTTTTTTTTTTTAAATTCTGGAAAAAAGAAACATAATCTAATAATATTTCTCCATTTTCTTCAGCCTTGTTCCCAAACATCTCCAAACACTTTGCAGGTGTGATTCCAGGGTCAGCATATCCCTAGTTCATCATCTCATAGAAGGGAAACAAAGAGTTGAGCAAGAATGCCATATTGTTTGAAGTGCTGATCCCTGTAACATAAAGAAATGAGAGTTATAAAATTCACTACCTTTTAAATTAAGTCTGTTTTTAGGTGATATGACTAGCATCATCAAGGAGAGTTAAGTATATAAGCATGTGTTTAAGTATGATCCTTGAGTAGCTTGAATAGAACAAATCCTCAAGGTTCTGGAGTATCTAAATCTATCTCCTGTTGGAGGCACCTGGCCTCCTTCTGCTGTCTGCAACTTAATAAAGTCCAGTGCCTCAAGATAACCACAGCCTCAGCCATCTGCTCCTGCATTAGCTGGACCAAGGTGTTTACTATCTAGGACAGCTTATTTGCAGTAGGCAACACCATAACTGATCCATGGCCAGATAACACTACAGCTTCCGTAAAAGACTCAGAATTAGTCACATAGATGTCAGCAACTTAAGCACCTGAAAGATCCAAACTTCACATGATAGTCCTGAGCCACAGACTGTTTCAATCATTTGGTCCAAACCCATGCACAGAAAACTTAGTGTTTGTATGGAAGGAGAGAAGAATGAAGGCAAGCTTCTTCACGTGTTGCTCCAGAGCTTTACAAAGTTTCTTGTGCCTTCCCTTCCCGTTCTGAGAGCAGTAAACAAAGTCAGCTCATGGAGATGTATTAGAACCAAGCACAGCTTCTTCTGGGCCCCATCAACATGAAATATACAGAAACCCCAGAAGTCTGCAAAGTTATTTCAGGGGCTGGAAATAATCTTCCTGTGATGGAGCAGGTATAGGAATAAAATGTTCTGTGTATGTTTTATGTAGCTGCGTATTTTGAGAGAAATTTGAGATCACCCACAAAGGAGGAATATCTCTTATGAGGTAAGGCTGAATGATTTACTTAAAATTAATAAATAAGAAATGAAAGAGCAGCTTATTTCTCTAAAATCCAAGTTGTAAAATATATTTGTTTAGATTTTTTTAATTTTGTTTATTGGTCTTTTGGTATTTTATGTTCTTAGATGACTACAAGGATTTAAACAGAATTTTTAGTTTTGGTTCAATAAGATTTAAAAAAAGAGCTTTAGTAATCACAGTGCCAATTCAAACTTACTTCCTACTAAAGAGCAAGCCCAAGGAATGCTTAACTTTTCTGGTTTAAATTCTTCGTTAAAAAGTAAAAGTTTAAATTGGCAGGAAAACTGCTATTTAAGCTGCTCGTACACCAACATCAGAGAAAGCTGTGTTTTAGCCCTTGATATTCTGCCAGGTACTGTACTACATATAAGCAAGATAAAGAGAGAAATTTAAAAAAAAAAAGATCGTCTAAGATAATTTTTATTTAGCCTTTGATACCCTAATGGATTTAATGTTAAAAAATGAAAGTTTATGAAATACCTCTTGAGGCCATAACCAATAGACTTCCAAAATCTGTTGATTTGCACTAGCCATCAAGTCCAAAAAATACTAACATAAAATTGCAAAGCACAGCCTTGTTTGGTCAAATGATTGGCATATGTTTCTCAAGAAATATCCTTATAACTTACTTAAAGCTCTGCTTATGAGTAATAGGTCTTTTGCTCATGAGTGAAATAATTATGCACAGTTTTACACCACTTAGTTCTCTTAAAAGTTATAGCAATAGGGGCCTGATGTTGTAGTTTGGCATTTCAAGTGTAGGAACTTAGTTTTCACATTTAATGTCTCAGCCATTCTGGATCCTAGCCACCTAAAACTTGGCAGGCAAGTTTGTCTGCCCAGATGATTTTTTTTATAGTTTAAGATGAGTAAGTACTTTTCTGTACAATAGCCAAAAAAAATTGTTTGGAGATAGTTATATAGTATTTTCTTTACCAGATGCAATTATAAATTAATTCTGTTAAAAAACAAAAAGAGACAGTCTGCAACTTGTCACCAGTTTTTGTAGAATAAAGCACTTAGGATTTTTAAGCAAAATAAACCACCACCCCATAGACAAACAATGAAAATTAAATATTGGACCTGGAGACAAGTAAATTCTCCAGCAAACTTTACCAGTTAGTTACACTTTACCTAGGCAACCAGAGTGGCCAAGAGAAAACACTTATGAGAATTTTAAAAACAGATTTCTGCTCTTGCAGCACAGCATGCCAGTCTTGCTCTTTGCTGTGCCTTACACACATCACCTGTGGGGAGAGACAACCATCCCCAAAGTGGGGTGGCCAGTGTGCCACCACCAACCATCAAAACTTCTCACAGAGAACTGTTCACTCTTATCATCCATCTTTTTAAAAACCTTTATAAATTATCTGACCCTGGAGACCTAATATGTTAACTTCATGGTCCAGCACTAAACTTCAGACCACAACCTGGGAAATAAGAAGATCAAATTTTCCTGTGGGCCTCAAGATGTCCATGCAAAAAATTGTCTCTAATATCAGCTGACCCTTTGTCTGAATAGTCAAAATGGGCCAACCCAAAATATTCTAGACTATCACTGATCCTTGGAGTGTCTGATAGTTTCATTTGAATTAAAAAGAAGAAGAAGAAAGAAGAAGAAGAAGAAGAAGAAGAAGAAGAAGAAGAAGAAGAAGAAGAAGAAGAAGAAGAAGAAGAAGAAGAAGAAGAAGAAGAAAAGCCTCTTTCTCTGTTCTTCAGCAGGCAAATCTTGCAGATTTAGAACATAAGCATTTTTAATATACTGGATTAAGAGAAGGATTCTAATCCAACTGAAGCTTATAATAGCACTTATAGTTGGAGAAATGCACATCACTGATCCGTTAATTCACTATCTGAACTGAAAAATTTAGACAATATATATTACTTTGATACAAAACTGAAACAATGGAAGTTTCAGTGGCTTCTGCAGGTTTAAAAAAAATCTGAGCCCCAAAATATTCAGTTTTGTTTAGAGAATTTTTTAAGATCTCTTTTCTAAACAAAACTATATTTAAATTTGGAGTGTTGCTTCAAATTTAATAAAGCAAACCACTGCAATTAGAACACATCTAAGTGAATGTCTTCACTGGAAAAAAAAAGAGTATTTTTCTGCTCTGATCAAACAGTCAAAATACAACATGATTTCGCAAGTTCTTTTCATTAATTCATATCTACATTTTTTCATGATCATAATTTAAAACAAACAAAAAATTATTCCTTCTTTCATTAATTTTAAGGCTTTTCCATTTCATGGTCAGACAGTAACAAATAGCATCTTTTTAGAGTCTGTTACACTGCTAATTCATTTTCCCATGTGTATGACAATGTCCTCCCCTCATACAGGTTCATATTATCTAAAATATATTTGCCCATTTTTTGCTTTCTTTCTTTAACTGTATTTTATTTTGAGATGCATATGATATAAATAATTTGACTAAGCATCATATTTTTAATAGTTTGAGAACAAAAAGCTTGTCATCAGGCAAACATAGCCTTCTGTGCTTTCACCACATTGCCATGTTGTTGGTGCAGGTTTCCATATGAACAGAATTCCAGCCAATTCTGAAGTCTTGCATTCAAGACAGCATTACTGCAGTAATATTAATGTCATCATCTCTTTCCGTGCACAAAATATCTAAGCAATGTATTTAGTAACTGCATTGCAGACTTCAGTGTTGGAGTCCCTCTTACTTTCCTATCTTGAATGTAAAAGCCTTCTATTAGCAAACTAGGATCCCAACTGGAATGAGATTATAATGCAATCATCTGGTTCAGAGCATTATGCCATGATTTTAGCAGCATGCTAGAAACTCCCTCTGCTCCTGGGCTTAATGAAATTTGAACTTATTATATGGTTCAGCACAGTTTTTGGAAGACAACCAATAAATATGGGAGGCTTCCTGTTGAAACAAGGGGCTTGTTTGCCAGGATTTGACTCTCTTGAGGAAAGCTAGCTGCAGGGCCAGATCTTTTCTTTTCATTGGATACAGAACAGCTACACACAGAGCAGTATTTACTGGTGATAGCAGCCTGTGACAGAGCTATGTCTTTCCAGAATACTCTAGCCAGAGGATAGCCAGTGATGACTGCAGTATACGCACTCAAATGTGCTTTGCCACTACATAATACAGAATTTAAGAAGGAGCATTTGATGGCTGCAGTGCATTTAAAAGTGGAAATCCACCTATTGAGTAAGAATCACACACTATGCTTTTCTAGGTGTTACTTTATGTGAAATTATAATATGAAGATATCCTGGAATGAAGAAAGAAATGGTTGTACCTGCACACAACTGCTTGCTCTATTTTTCAGGCTAACAGCTTAGCTGTAACATTTGTGCATTAGCTAAATAACATCTCAAGGGGAGCTGGAGATAGAACCTTGATGTGTCCTGATTGTACGTGTGTGAGTTTGTGCTCTCAAAGGATGGTCCTTAAAAAACTCCCTGCTGAAAGCTATTGTGCATATTGCAAAAGGACCGTTGCTAAGTGCCAATTGAGCTGGTACTGTATACTTGCCATTTTAAAAGAAGATTTCATACCACTTGATTATGTTAAATAGAAATGTTTGAAATTTAAACTGAATTACATCAAAATGGCACAGTAGTTATATGTCTAAAGAGCTGCTGCTACTCACTCTCATAACTAATGTCAATCCTTTCTGGTAGACAGTTTTATGGGAAATCATGGTAGAGTATATTACAGGCGAAGTTTAGAGAGCCTTGATATAAAAAATGTCATAAATAAATACTACCTTAAAACCAGACCTGTGTTTGTATTAACAAGCAAGAACTCCTTTACAGTAAAGTATGGTCCTTAGCCACAAAGTTATACCATTTTTTAATGTCAGAACTTCATCTTCAGCCTTTAGGCTACTCTAAGGTGTCAGATTTTTTTCTGTGCAGATGATAGGTATTTGGGGAAATTGGTGTACTCTTTTAAAGCAATCTAGATATATGATATATACTTAGTAGAAATAATCCAGAAATTACCTCAAGACCAGCTTACAAAAAAAAAAAAAAACAAAAAAGAAAAAAAAAAAAAAAAAAAAAAAAAAAAAAAAAAAAAAAAAAAAAAAACAAAAAAAAAACAAAAACAAAAACAAAAACAAAAAAAAAACAAAAAATAATAATATTAA